ATGACAGCTGCCCTTCGGCAGAAGCAACAGGGACCTCTCTGGGCAAGCTCTGCAGGGTGATTTAGGCCATTGTCCTAGCTGAGCACCTTCCCGAGCCCTGCTCATTCTATTGCCTTTCCACGCAATCACTAAGAACCAGGAGTCTTATATCTAAGTCAGGTTGAATAGGTTTTCGTTACTCACAACTGAAGATTTGTTTTGTCTGTGCTGGGTATCAAACCCAGGGGTTGGCACAGGCTAGGTAAGTGCCTGCCGCTGAGCTACAACCCCAGCCCCCCACCCCTCCATCCTGATACAGCAATTAGTGTAGACCTAGCAGAGTTCCTGGCCTTCAGGGAGGGGAAGGAAGATGCGCATTTTTCTGAGCACTTACTAGGTGTGAGTAGAATTCTCTCTCTTTTTTTTTTTAATCAGTACCTGGGATCGAACTCAGGACCGCCTGCTTGCAAAACAGGTGCTTATGCCGCTGAGCTAAATCCCTAGCCCTAAAATTCTAAAAATTTCAGCCCGAGTACTTACCATAGAGGTCCTGAGGCCCCTGGGGTGACGACCTCTGTAGAAAGGTAGCAGATGCCTGCCTTCTCATCTTACTCCCAGGCCAAGGTTCAGCATCAGCTGCTGAACCCCAGCCCTCAAAAGGGCTGCCTGTGTGACAGGTACACCTTTGAGTTCCAGAAGACTGACAGCTACAGGGGCTGAGGATTTAGCTCAGTGGTATAAGTGCCTGCCTTGCAAGCAGGCAGTCATGAGTTTGATCCCTGGTATGGATTAAAAAAAAAAAAAAGACTGACAGCTTGTCTTGGTGTGGTGAGCTAAGTTCTTATTTCACTGATTTCCTGGTTTTTTGTTTTGCTTTATTTCTTAATCTCTCATTTGGTCTTTGTGTCCTAAATCTGTCAGTTCAAAAAGGGACCAGTTACTGCCTTTTCAGCTCTATCTGGGAAAGCTTCCTGAATTGTTTCACAGCCATCCTCCTGCCGTAAGTTCCTTCAAAAGGAGGAGTCCTGTCTCAGGCGGGGTAGGGACCCTTTGCTCATTAGCACTGATTAGAGCAATGCTGTCCCAGGGAGGTCAGAGAGCAGCTCAGGGCACATGAATCGTTGGGCAGCTGGGGACATCTCCTTTCTTCCTGGGGCAGCTTTCAAGGGCATGGGCTGTCATGTGTTTTGTTTCCATGTCTGAGGCTCCCAATGTCTCCCTTCTTTTGCTCTGGCTTAAGGAAGGGGAGAGAAACAGTCCCAATCCATGGGACGGGGATTCTCTGCCATCCAACTGCTCCTCCTCTGCCCAAGGCTCCTCCTCTGGGATCTGCAGGTGCTAGACCTTCAGAGCAGTGGGGCATTGTCCCTTGAGCTGGCCATGAAGGAGGGGAAGGGGAGGCCGAGGCAGCCTGGATCTTCAGCCCCTCCCCGCGCCAGTCACGGGTGCGCCCAGCTGTGGGCTGGAGTGTGGCCAGCCGTGTCCTGAGCAGCAGCTCAGCTTACCCTGCCCTCCTCCTTCCAGCCTTTGTTAATTCATCCGTGGGCTCATCCCCTGGCTGCACCTGGTGTATCCGCCACACAAGCCACCAGGTGCTGGGGCTGCTTGGGGAGTTACGTGGATAGAGCCCTGTCTTATGGTGCCTTTGAGCAGACCAGAAGTAGCACCAGGTCACTACCTGCTCAGGGAGCACAGGATGGGAGCCCATCTCGCCATGAGGCTCATGGAATCATGGGGAGCCCAGGGACTCTGGGGGGAAGGTGTCATTTCTGTGGAGACTTGCTGGGCAGAAAGAGGAAATAGAGCAGTGATCACAAGAGGCAAAGCCTAGCAGGAGGGAAAAGTGTTGTCTCTCCAGGCACTGTGGTGTTCATCTATAATTCCAACAGTTGGGAGGCTGAGGCATGAGGATCACCTCAATTTCAAGACTAGTCTGGGCTACCGAGTGAGTGTAGTCAGCCTGGACTGTACAGCAAGACAAAAACAAAGAAATAAAACAATGACAACAAAAAATATCACCCCGGGAAATCTTCAGCTCAACCCTGGGAGCTAGGTACCATTCCCATTTTATGGACAAACACAGGCACAGAGCAGTCAGCTAACCTGCCCTACCTTGCATATCAAGGGACAATGCAGTCACACCCCAGGCCACTTGGCTCTGGAGTCTGTCCACTATGGGAGCCACACATCTAACAGGGTGGCCTCTGTGGGAGGGAGGGGGCTGCTGTGCAGCCAGCCTTCCTACAGTGCCCCATGCTCATCAAAGCACACAGGTACTTGGTAGCTACATGGCTGCAGCAGGTCAAAAAGAGGTCTGAGAAATTCCTGGTCTCCTGGGTGGCCTGCACCCCTGTGTTTTGCCCAAAGCTGTCTTCATGGTCTTCAGCTCTGCCCAGACCCAACTCCAGCCCACGGAGAAGCAGCCATGGATCCTCCCCTCCCACTCCACCTGGGCAGCGGGGTGGCAGAGTAGACCCTACCATCTGGGAGGCCTTCCTGTCTCCCATGGGCCCCTTCCGCTCTGCAGCCTTCTGATGCCTGAAATCTCTGCCATGGCTCTAGCCCACACGCCTGTCTCCCTTCTCCAGGGCCGGGCCCTCATTGTGAGCAGCACACAATCAACTCCTGTGTGCATTGTTCTTCGGCTCTTTTGTGTTCATTCATCCACTGAACTCTCCAGAATGGTCTGGAGATGACTCATAATTTGGGAGATAGTTGAAGGTTTATTGCTTTATGTACCAAAACTTATAAAGAAAAGGCCAACATTCCAGACATCGAAAAAAAAAAATCTCTGTTGACATTTGCCATGCCTGCCTGCCTTCTCCCTTGGAACGCCCTTGTCATGCCTTGAAAGACTAAAGAAATTGCCAAAAGTGATCTGCCAAGCCTGAGGTAGGAGCATTCTCTGAGTTTGAAATTAGCCTGGGTAGAGTTCAAGGCCAACCTGAATTACAGGATGAGATCCTGTCTCAAAAAGTAAAAAAAAAAAAAGGATCCACCAAAGCAACTACCATGGAGGCTCATGCCTGTCATCCCAGCAATGAGGAGGCTGAGGCAGGAGAATGGCCATGAGTTGAGGCCAGCCTGGACCACATAGTGAGATCCTGCCTCAAAACAAAACCCAACCACAACAAAAAAGATAAGCCAGGCATGACAGTATATGCCTGGGATCCCAGCACTCTGGGCACAAAGGTCTCAAATTTGGGCACTCAGTGACTTGGTGAGATTCTGTCTCAAAGTAAGACCAATGCCAAGTTTCAAGTTCAGTGCAGCAGATGCCTTCACATCTTGGCCATCACAGAGCAGGAGAAGGCAGGGGACTGACGCTGTCCCTGCCTCCAAGCATGGCAACAGAGGAGACAGAATGAACTCAAACACTGAAATAAAATTAAAACTGCAGTGGAATTTTAGTGATTAAAATTTATTATCTACTTTCTTCAACAAAAACATGATGAGGATTTTTTGCAGGTGATATTGAAGCTCTTTGCTATGAACCTAAATCTGCCTAAGATGTGGGTCATATGCCCCTGCTCTAGCGGGTCCAGATTGCTCACTTCTGGTGCTAGATCCTCCTGCCTCAGTCTCATGAGTGTTGGGATGACAGGTGTGTACTACCACATCCCGCTTCTTTCTTTTTAGCTTTTTTTTTTTTTTTTTTTGAGACAGGGTCTCGCTATGCAGTTCAGGCTGGCCTTGGGCTCATTTTGTAACCCAGGCTTGCCTCGAACTCACAACGATCCTCCTACCTCGGCCTCCTGAGTGAGGGCATGGCAGGTGTGTGCCTCCGTGCCTGGTTTCATTTGCTCTCAGTAGGTTTGGCATCACTACCTGTGAACTGCTTGTCTTGCACAGACCATGGAAGTGTCTGGGTCCAGCCACCCATGCAGTGGGAGGAATGGATTTCAGAGTTCCTCTTGTGGTCGTCCGCTCACTCCTGTGAAGGGCCCAGTCTCAGCACTGTGGCTGGAAGCTAGGCTGCCGAGCTTCACAGGGCTACGGCGTGATGGTCCAGGTTGCTTCTCATGTCCAGCATGTGCGAGCATTACTGTGTGACACATGTGAGCCTCGCAGACACCGCCAGGGCTTCCCCTCCTGGCTTCTAGGTCCTTGGTGTGCCCCACAGTGCAGTCACACCCTGTGTCCACAAAGCATCTGCTGCATACACCATGACAGCATCCTGGTGGCTTGTTCTGTGGCTGACCACCCAGCAAGTGTGCAGTGCTGCTCCTGCCACAACTGCACACACCCCTCACCGTTCCCCCTCAAAGCAGCCCTTTGCTGGACACGTTCTATAGGCCCTAGAGATCAAAAGTCACAGTCCATGGGGAACAAAGCAAGGAGTCATGTGAGGGACAAACAGGTACCTCTTTTGTTACGGGCATGGCAAACAGGAAAACAGAACTTGCACATGCAAATAAAATCTGCCACTGGCTTACCAGCAAGTACATACAGATAACCGGACATTGTTTCTAGGTCAGCGAGCACTAGAGTGTCAGGCCCCTGTGAAAGTGCATGGGAAGCCCTGCTTGCTGTAGTGGAGCCTGAGATGGCACCGCCTGCTTCTGGATGTTAACTCTGACTTAGCAGCTGGAATAGGAGACCGATGTTGGCAAGTCTTGACCAAAGCAGCCGTGATGTAGGGTCAGATACCTTAGTTCACCAAGCTGTTCAGAGACTAGGAGACAAAATCAAGAAAGAAAACCCCTGTGCCCTCAGCAGGCATGTCACAAATGGCATGAACACATACTTAAAGATATTTATATGTTGTGTTGAGTAGGGAAAGAAGTTATTGGATGAATTAGTTAGGATTTCCCAGAAAAATAAAATATATACATCCCTCAAAATGAATATGTACAGTACCTGGAGTGGTGGTACATGCTTGTAATCCAGCACTCAGGAGGCTGAGGCAGGAGGATTGCTTGAGTTCAAGGCCAGCCTTGGCTACAAAGTGAGCTCAAGATCAGCCTGAACTGCATAGTGAGACCCTGTCTCAAAAAGACAAAAAACAAAACAAAACAGAATAGGTACAAAGAGGAGAGTTTATTATCAGGAACTGGCTCACACACAGTTATGTGGGCTGGTGAGTCCAATTACAAAATCTGCAGGGTGGGCACCAAGGTGTGGCCTCAAACTCCTAGTGATCCTCTTGCTTCATCCTGTGGTCCTAGCACATTAGCAGTTTCCAGAGGGGGATTCTAACCACCTGCCATGCAGAAGTGCAGACAGTTACTTGGGGCATCTGGGTGACAGGTTCCGCTGAGACGTTTGTGTGACACTCAACAGCTGCCAAGTGGCAGGAGAGGAATAAATGTTTCTGATGAGCCGGTGCTTTGGCCAGTACACCAATAACACCATTTTCGAGAGCAAACCTGAAGGGGAGGACTCATACTCATTTACTCTGCACTGTACACCGATGAAGTTAATCTGCACACCATTAGCGGCACTAATTACAACAAGGATTCAGGTCCTGGGCTTCTGCCAACATTCTTTAAGATGCAAAGTCTTCCTAGGGTGGGGGAGGGGAATATCTCTCAGTCCCAAACAAAAAAAGGAAAACCCCCACTCTTCATGGAGGTGCTGCGATCACCCCCCGCATTCCCTGTGATAACTCTCCCCCTCCACAACAGCATTTTGAGTTAGGGATTATTTTTTCCTGTTCAGGGAAGACTAAAGTTAAACCACAAACAGCAGGAATTTAGGATCTTTCAGTTCTAAGTCTCATGTGTTTTCTCTCTTCCCACCAGCTCCCTCTTACCAAGTAATTTAGAAAACATAACAAGCACTTTGAATAAATGAGGCAGTAACTCCTCAGTGCTTTCTCTGTGAGCTGTGTTTCCTAGAGCTCTTCCCAGCATGTTGGGTATGATATTTAATATTTCAGATTTACCAGGCTAGGATGCAACTCCCAGAGGGAGGACACAGAGTAGTCAGAGCCTCTCTAGAATCCCCATGGAACACAGTGGGGATCTGGGGAGACAGAGGTAAGAATGGGTGTTGAGCTGGGAACGGTGACATATTCCTGTAATCATAGCACTCTGGAGGCTGAGGCTACAAATCGCTACCTCCTGAATTCAGGGCTGGAGTGAACTGTACAGTAATAACCTGTCTCAAATACAATCAAACAAGATGGGACTTTGGCACCAACACCACATGTGGCATTATCCAGGCTGTGCAGCTCTTTAGCTGCCTGACATTGTACATGATACTTGCCCATCCTGTGTGGTACTTTCCTCATCTGTGAAACCAGATGGCGACCATAACAGTACCTACTTTGTGGCTGGATTAGCCAGACTGGATGAGTTAATCCTTGTATAAAACTTAAAATAATGCTTGATCCATGTAATTACTTGATGAATGTTAGCTTTTCTGTGACTCAGCACTTGAAGTGCTCACAGCTTTAGCCTGAGTTTTTCATGTACAGAGACACATGCAGAGGGCCCCACTGAACCCTGAAATGCAATTTCACATTCCGTCACTGCCTTGAAACAGCTTTCAACCTTGATTCCAGATGAGCATGACTTACTGAGTTGTTCTTTGATCCATAGTTAGTTAATTGAATGAAAGCAGAAATTTTAGGAACATTTATAGGAAAGCAGAAATTTTAGGGACAAATTATAGGAAGTAGCCAATTTTGCCCATGGTCACCTGGCTGGATGCCAACCAAACCTTGACTTTGTGACAGAGAATTTAGTATATGTGCTCCTTCTATGTAGCCCCTGTCTCCTTACCAGCTCCCTCTCAAAGTTTTCCATCTCCATCCTCTTACTCTTCTAGTGCCTGGAATTACCTCTCATTCCCCAAAGCTTGACATTCACTGGTCATTCAGAAAGCATTTTATTTGACCTTGCACCTGTAAATTCTTTCCACTGGGATTTCTCTGTGTCTGGCTCTGGCCCTGCCCACAGGGCCCTAATGATGTTTGTTGGCTGCCTGGCCTCAGGAATTCCAGAAATAACAGCAGGCTCTCCATTAGGAGGTTGGAACTTGGTGAGGCATTTCTGCACTAAAATCCAAGAGTCCTTTCAGCCAGGCCTCTGCTGTCTGTCACAGCACAAAGCAGCTTGTACTAGTGTGTCTAAAGGGGCAGCCGGGAGGGAGGCTGTATTTCTGGAAAGTCTGCGCCTTCTCTTCCCAAATGTCTGTCCTCAAGATCTTCCAGTCTGGGACAGGCTCTAGATGGCTGTCTCCACTTAGAATTGAGATTTGTTTCTTGGGCTTGGTATTCTTTGCCTTTCTACCATCTGGGCTTCCTAAGATGCGGTGGAACTGCGATCAGAGGAGCGAGAGCCCAGATGGTAATTTTCGTCCTTAGAGCACTAAGACAGCCACCTTAGAGTTGGGGATTTTGGAAGAAGGAGAGAAGGGAGTGGTTCAATAGGAAAGGAAAATGCAAAGATGACCCTGAACCCATGGTATCTAGGGCGAAGGTTCCTAAAGTTAGTATTTTAGGTTCCCAAATGTCCCAAAAAATACCAGGTAATTCCCTTTTTCAAAGTGTCAAAATGCTTTATAGATGTGAAATTATATCTATATTTAGACTCACAACCTGAGAAAGGTAGAAAAGACATTAAAAAATTGCTTTGAGGGTAGGTGTATAGTCGTGGCTCATTTTCTCCAAATCGTGCCATTTCTTATTTAAAAAAAAAAAAAAAAAAAAAAAAAAAAAGCAATACCAGCGATCCGCCCAGATTTACCTCTCCTGAGATTTACCTCTCTCCAAGTGAATCTGGTGTCCGGTGCCTGTCTGCAAACTTGAATGTATCATGTCAAAGTCACGCTTAAGCCACTTTCTCCGAGAATTTATTCCTCCTTAATGGGGATGGGATTATTTCCAATTCGCAGCCCTAACAGCAACGTCATGCATGAAAGGCTGGGTTTAGCGTAGCTTCAAACCTTTGTCATGAATATAAAAGGTGGAGGGGAGGGAAAAAAGAAAAAGAAAAGGAAAAAAAGGCACTTGTGCAACCCAGCGGCAGATCGTGATAACCTCTGCAGCCCAGTACGGGTCGGGTCAGCTGCAGGATGCAGCGGGCAGCTACACACCTCTGCCGCAGAAGCCCGGACCAGGAGACCACGAGCTTCGCTGTCCTGGGCCGTGCCCAGAAGCGCCGGGGCGGAGGGAAGGCTGAAGGGAGTTGGTAACAGCATCGCCATGGCAACAGTGACGTCCTTTTACCCTGGATCTAATTGGAGGAAACCCCGTGGCCGAAGCCGCAGCCTGCGGGCCAACCGAACTTTTCCAGGCCGACCCACCCTCCTAGCCTCCGCTTCCCCTTGCGTCCCACCCATCGCGCCCCCTTCCGCGCGCTCGGCCCTCACTGGTCAGACATAGCGTGGAAGGCGGGACTTATCGGGGATATGCCTCTCTCTATTGGATGGCGGCCCCCACCTCGGCCCTAAGTTAGGTTGAGACGGGAGGGTCCTCGGCAAAAGCCAAAAGGAGATCAAAGTGGTGGGACTCGCAACGCGGCCGCGGAGAAAAGAAGGTGAGCGCCTCGAGGGGCGGCCTTTGGGGTCCTCTGGCCATAGCAGAGGGTTTGAGGGCCGGGGCGGGGGACGCAGACCTCTGGAGTGACCGGCCGTGGATGCCTATGCCTTTCGCCTCAGGGAACGGCTCGCGGCGGGAAGGTGCGGGGGCCAACGGCCGCTTCCATCTTGGGCCGACCGGGCAGGGGTGGCGGGCTCCGCTCACCACGGTCTCGCGCTCGGGTCTCCGCCTCCTCCCCCGCGGGCCTCGGTCACTCCGGCGCCCGGAACTAGCGGGCGGGCGGGCGCAGGGGAGGGAAATTGAAGCGGAACGCGTGTGCCCGGAGACAAAGCGGGCGGCGGGCCGCATTGTCTGAAGTGTTCCTTCCCCTCCTCGCTTTTTGTCCTCGCCGGCGCCGCCCCGCCCCTTTAGCTCTCGGGGCGGACTCCTCCCGATCCGGGTCGGCGCTCCCTCTTGTTCGCCTCGCCCACGGCCCACAGGTCCCCGCAGCCACCAGCGCCATGGAGAAGACCGAGCTGATCCAGAAGGCCAAGCTGGCCGAGCAGGCCGAGCGCTACGACGACATGGCCACCTGCATGAAGGCAGTGACCGAGCAGGGCGCCGAGCTGTCCAACGAAGAGCGCAACCTGCTCTCGGTGGCCTACAAAAACGTGGTCGGGGGCCGCCGATCAGCCTGGAGGGTTATCTCGAGCATCGAGCAGAAAACCGACACCTCTGACAAGAAGTTGCAGCTGATTAAGGACTATCGGGAGAAAGTGGAGTCGGAGCTGCGATCCATCTGCACCACGGTCCTGGTGAGTCCGAGTCGGGGAGCCAGGGCGTGAGAATTAGTGGGCTTGCCTCGAGTCTCTGGGGTTGAAGGTTTGTGAAAGTGAGCAAACCCTGGTTGCCTACTGGGTTATTTCAGTGCCAGAGATTCTCAAGAAGCTACTTTTCCAAGGGTGAGTAAACCTATCGGATGCTGGGCTGCTAAAAGTTCGAAACAGCCACCAAGATTTGACCTACTGAAAATGGACCCTAACCTTGTCTTGGGAAATTTTACTTGAAGAGTATCCCACCATCCTCTAAAAGTGTTTACTCAGTTCACAGGCTTGGAGCAGCTGAAAGATGACATAGAGACCTTTTCCATAGAGACTCAGTAGTAAGTTCTTCCACACTAGTAAGGGAAAATCGAAACAGTTACTTTATTTTTCAAGGAGGAGTTATCTGTTGAGCTTTTCCTTGGTAAGATGGGGGAGGGCCATGCAGTCCTTGAGCAAAGGACTCAGCCAGATCTGAAGAACAAAATGTTCTGGTTAACTTTGGTACAGTATTTAGTAAGATTACCTTGTTACTGAATAGCAACACTCAAGCCCTGATGCATTGGGATGAATTCATTTCTGACACGGTGGAGGGCAGGCAGGAGAGCTTTCCAGGTTTGAACTGTTCAGTCTGGCTTAGCATGGGTAACTCTGGGGTTGAGTGGGTGGCCGCTGTGACTGATTCATCCTGATTAGAGTTTGGCTTCATCTTTGGAACACATCTTCTCATCAGTAAGTTTTTAGAATTTAAATGAACCAGCACTGTTTTAGAGTGGTATTAGATACCTGAATGCTAGAAAGAGTCGTTTCTGCAAATAAGGAAAACTGAATGTGGTTAATCTCTTTAAATGCCACTTTTAGAAAAGGCCTACTGATTTTTGATGTGTTTATTCCACAGTTTGCTTAGGTGGGCATTGAAAGACAAGCATGCTGGATCGATTTCTCTAAAGGGAATACTAGCTAGAAGGGAAGTTCATCTTGACCTCCAGTTTTTTCTCCTTTATCATATCAGACTAGTGGAGTAGGGAATTTTTCTCACTTGTAAAAAAAAAACTTCTTTAGCCTGTTTCTGATATAAATACAGGGAATCTGAACAAAAGCATGGCCACTGGAAATAGCTGGTAAAGAGGCAAAAAAGCAGTGTAGGGAGTGCATACTAAAAGTGGAGACAACTTTATTGACATTATTTTGTTGCAAAGGCAGAGCGCTGTTACATTCATCTATGTACTCAACTTCCAGTTCCTGTGTGGGGTAGGGGGTACTTTATGAGATGTTACCTGTTTGTTAGCTAGTTAACTTGGGTCCAGAGAATCTTCATTTTATTTTGTAGAGCCATGTCAGGAGAAAAAACCTGAAAAGGATGGTAGGCAGCATAATTCATTAGAGAGGTCACAGGAAGGAAGTTTTCCTTACTTAATTAGTAGTGGAGAATGAAGAAAACTTTTTGAGTATTACAAGTGGAATAGCATCTAGATCTTAGCTTTGAATGCTAACTAACCAGCCTGTGATTTGAACTCACTGGCAAAGAAGTAATAGACTCCAAACAAGAGTGATTGGTAGATTATTTATTTATTTACTTATTTAGTGGCACTCAGAAAGGGGTTAGTGTATGTTCTTGTACTGGGGATCAAACCCAGGCCCTTTTCCTTCAATAGACACTAGGCACTCTGCTGTCACTGTCCACCTCTAAAGTGAACAGTGTTTAAAGTCCAAGTTCAAAAACATGATGTCCAAGACACTTGAAATGTTGAAAAAACAGTGAACAATGAAATGGCTTCGGGACAAGGTGATGCCAGAGTTTTTGGTGACCGTACTGAATGTTGGGGACACCCAAGTTTAACCAAAAACTGGGTAGTTGCTAACAGCAGAAATAAGATACTTGGGAGTCATTAAGAATTTGGATGCAAAGTTAAGTGAGGAAAGAAACTAGAGGGACCCATAAAGCCCTCGGGGACCTGGGAAGCACCTCTATCTTTTATAAAGCTTGTGACCTTGGAGCAGGAATTGGGCAATTAAGAATATGTATAAGATGACCTCTTTTTCAGCACCGATGTCCTTTCCTATAAGACTAATATTTTGGACTTCATTTAATAGTCTGCTTTAGTATAAGGCACAATTTACAAATCTTTTGTGGTTTTTTATAAAATAATCCTTGACTGTATGTAGAATCTGAAAGATCCATATGTGATTGTGCAAGACCTTTGTAACCGTATTTCACTAATATGCTTGAATTCAGTTGTGTTTTAATTTCTTACTGAAAATGTGTCTTTTATACTGGTCCTTATTTTGGAGTAAGACTGTAAGGCAAATAGGTAAATGGTCACACCTTGAGACCATACTTTTAAGTGAAATAAATCGGGTGCATGTGTGTAGATACCACATTGTGTGGGAAACCGAAAGCATAAAGAAACAGATGAAAATAAAGACTGTAAGACACTGTTCCATTACCTTATAGTTTGGTGAGCACTGACAAATTTCCCCCTCCCTACCTCCTTTTTTTTTGCAGTACTGGGGATAGAGCCCAGGTCCCTAGCTCCTGGTTTTGCTAGGCAAGTGCTAAGCTACCTCCCCAGCCCTTTTAAAGTTTTCACATAGTCTCTGCAAGTTGTCCATGGTAGCCTCAAATTTGAATCTTGCTCCCTCCCAAGTAGCTGGAATTACAAGCATGTGCCCCCATGCCTGGCTAAATACCTTCATATTTCAGCCTCTGTTTCTTCATCTGTACATTGGTGATCATGGTGTCCGTCTTTATAAGGTTGCAGTTAGAATAACAGCTAATAACTCACATTCATGGGGCATTTACTGAACACTACTTCGGTTCCTATAAGTTAGGATGATAGTTTGGACAGCCTAAGACAGAAGGATCATAAACTCAGGGCCAGTTCTGGCAAGTTAACTGGCCCCTGTCTCAAAATTTTTAAAAAAGGACTAGGTTTGGAGACTTCCTGGGTACGTAGCTTAGTAGTAGTAGAGTGCTTGCCTAGCATTCATGAGGCCCTGCCCAGTACTGCACCCATAAAGTGGAGGTAACTGTGGCATGAGTGATGGGTTAGGATTGCAACGCTAGTTAAGTGATAAAGCAAGGCTTTTGCCCAAGATGTGTGACACCATATGAAAAGAGGTAAATGGGGCATGATGGGGCATGCCTGTAATCCCAGCAGTGGGGAGGGTGAGGCAGGGCAATCGCTGTGAGTCCAAGGCCAGCCTGGGCTTTCCATAGTGAGTTCAGAGCCAGCCTGAATTACATAATGATAGCCTGTCTCAAAAAAAGGTGAAGCACAGTAGTCCTTAAATGGCATGGTAGCTGATTTGAGACCCAAGGTTGGTTTTCTGAGGGAATTTGTGTAAGACATTAACATTTACACCTTAGGAAAGAGAGTACATAGATCTTTGGTGGACAAAACTGCCAAAGCCTGTAGTACATTATTATGTACAGGATACTGCAATAAAATTTTAAAAGTCAGCATTTGGTTTTTTGTCTAGATTAAAAGTGCTTGAAGCCGAAAAAAAAATTTTTTTTTTTTTGCCGGTACCAGGGATCGAACTCAGGATCGCCTGCTTGCAAGGCAGGTGCTCATGCCACTGAGCTAAATCCCCAGCCCCTGTTTTTCTTTTCTTTTTTTTTTTTTTTTTTTGGTGGGTTTTTTTGGTTTGTTTTTCTTAAAAATGTGAAATAGGGGCCCTTCCATTTGTGGAGGGGAGTCGCAGTGGTGCCCTTCTCCAGCCTGACAGGGTGTGTGGCTACAACTGCCTACCAGAGTCTCATAGGAGTCCCCTGATGTCAGTGCTCAGAAACACAGAAACTGCCCCAGGCTCTTTGCCTGGTGGGGGTCCCTGGCTGTGGACAGCCTGGGGGTGAGCAATCCAGTGTGTTCTCCCTACTCCTGCAAGTGCAGGACCCTCTCTCCCTCCTAGAATTGGGAGCTTCCTGAACTCTGACTTTTAACGTCTCACAGGAAGCTGTGGCCCCAGATGTCGTACCTGAAGTAGAAAAATACAAAGAATTCAAAGAGAGAATGGAATGAAATGGAAATGGAAGGTTAGGTCAGTGTTCCTCAACCAGGGTGTGCTTACCTACTCTCCACCCTCTGGGGGACTCCATGGCAGCACCTGGAGACACTTTTCCGTATCCAGTTGTATGAGGAATTCTTGGGGTGGGGGTAGAGGTCCTGCTGCTGATGCCAGGTGGCACAGACGCTGGAACATTGCCAGGTATCAGTACAGTACACAGCTCTCATGGTCCCCCTGGAGTTAATCACCCAGTTCACAATGCCAATATGGTGTCGCCAAAACTTACAGTCCAGTGATATGCTCTGCACTGCGATGGGTTTTCTCCTGCCTGTCCTTTAGGCATCTCGACTGAACCTGTTGTCTCAACTTGTCCCTTACCCCTGTCACTGTTGTGTGTGCAGTTTAACTGTCCAGTTCACCTTTTTGGAATTTGTTTATTGACTTCTATATTTTCAGTCTATCTTCTGATTGCTTGGGAAGCTCTGCAATTTGCTATTTTTTAAATTTATTTTGGATTGCTCTTTTTCTTTTCGTTGGTACTGGGGCTCAAACTCATCACCTCGTGCTTGCCAGGCAGATGCTTGTGTCCCCCAGCTATACCCCTGGCCCTTATTTTGGATTTTTGAGACAGTTTCACTGTGTAGTGCAGACTGACCTTAAACTCACTGTGTAGCTGCAGGCTGGCCTCATTCTCACAGTGACCCTCCTGCCTCAGCTTCTCTAGTGCTGGGATTACAGGCATGTACTACCAGGCCCACCTTTGATTTGCCATTTTAGCTCAGCATGGAAGACTAGGATGTAGCTGGCTGACAGAGCACTTGCCTGGCAGCATGAGACTATACTCAATCCTAGGACCAAAAAACCTTGGCAGAGAATAAAAGAGCTAAAGCAGGTATAAGCTGAGGCCATTATACTGACATCTGTGAGGAAGCTGGGGAACAATAGCTCCCTGCCCTTCCTAGGTGTACGGGGGACTGAACACT